CCAAGAGGAATTAGCTGGCTTATTTTCACATAGTAAAGAAATTCGCCTGCCTTACTGGGAAATGCCACACCTAGTTTAATAAGTTGCCTTTGAATATCTTACATTGAGCATGAAAAATGAATACATACTTGATTTTCAATTATAACATGCCTAGAAAAGTACTGCTTTTTATTTAACCTTCTTAAATAAATACTGATATAACTCAGTAAAAGCATTATGTATTCATTTAATAGTGTTTGACATTGCTATAATTTATAGATAAGATAAATTAACATGTGTTCTGAGTCTTTGACTTATTCCTGATGATTTATTAGCTTATATGCTATGTTTGATTTTTCATTAAGTCTTGTATTCCTTAAATTTCTGTGGGCTAATTGGAACCATTTCCACAGCAGAGAATTTTTCGTTGTAGTTTGTACATGTAAAGGCAAAGATGTTGAAATTATACATAGATTGAAAGCAAGAGAGTTTCTCTATTTTTATTAGAAATGAATTATGGTTGGATGTATTTCATCAAACTCAGGTAAATAATTTGTATTTTACTGATCTTGGATTAAGCAGATTGATACATACAACTATTTCTGCTTGAAGACATTTCTGAAATCCAGAATCTTTCTCTAATCAAGCAGGTGTATGGTTATGGTATCAGTTTAAACCATGAAGCCTGTACCTGTGTCTCTTTTTCTTCTACACATTATGAAAGTGAACTCTTCACAAACTGTAATTCTTTTTGTGTTTCTTTCAGAAAACCACTTCCAACCTATGACTTAGGCAAGAGTGAAGGAAAGGCAGAAACAGCATAAAGTATATGTAGCATGAGTTTCCAGTAATAGCCAATAATCTTGTAGCAGAAAGAAGTGGGACATTATATTGAAGATGCAACTAATCTTAACATAAGAACTTACTGACTGATCACTTTCCAAGGACATATTATTGATAGGACACAGATACATCTCAGTGTTTTAAAAATTGATCCAATAAAGTGTTCATGTGAGTGTCAAGACTTGACAGATACAATTTAGCTCTTAAATAATATCTTAAACATTTGGCAGTCCTTGTATTGCTCTTTGCATATAAATATAGATGGCGAACAGTCCTCTATTACTACAATAAGGTTACTAATCTCAGTTGTTTTATATGAGTTGTTTCTCATGAGGCCATTATATATCACCTAGTCTCACATGTCTTTACTTGACTTCCAACAGACATGGGAAAGGCCTAGCTCATAGGCCATCGTTAAATAATTTGGTCTGGTTTGACCAAGACAACTGTAGATAAGAGCTGAGATTCACTACGTCTATCTTTCTAATTTTTAGTTTGATAACTTTATGTAGCTTGTGAATGATGTTCCATGTATCCAAATGGCCCTTAGCAGACACAAACAAAAAATGTCCCCACTGCTACAAGATTTACTGAATTGTCCTTATGTCAATACAAAATTCTATGAGAAAGGAGCATGTGCTCACAACTGCCATTTAGGCATTGCCATTAGGTTCTCTTTGCCACCTGGTTCAGTTTCATGGGGTGGGTGACAGGACTCCCTCTCTTAGCGAACTGACTGTCCAGGCCACCTAGTAAAGATATATATGGCTATAAGGGAGTGTTAACATACCATCAATGCAATCATTTTACCACAGTATGTCCCCAAATGCATTTGCTTTTAATAAGACTCTGATTGTAATATATTTAACTTAGAGAGGTGGAATTTTTTCTTCTCTTAGTTACCTCCTTCTATTTTGGAGTTTGACCAATAGACATCATCAGTATAGTGCTGAATTAGATAAAAATACTGAACATTGCCATGAGGTCAAGGATCTTGGGTCTGATTCAGGAAAAGACACCACCACGAAGTGGCAGTAGCACAACCATGCAGGGGGGAAGAAGGGAAGGAAGCCCGTGGGAGGGGGGAGTCCTATCTCCACAATGAGATTGGTGTCTCCGGTCAGAGAGCTAGGAAGGGCAGTGGAGGCTTGAAGTCTTTTGTATGCAAGGGTTTGTCTTATTGATGGCTAAAAGGCAAGGCGTGTGGTATAATTTTATGGAGTATACAAAGCAAATAAACTCTGAATGGCTAAAACTGCTTATTTTGCTGTTTTTAAAACAATTGGGTGCTTAATTCAGAGTTTGGAGCCAAGCGACATTTGAGCTAATGCTTCCAGGCTGATGTTAAGAAATGAACATATGACGGTTCCTGTACCAGAGCAATTTTTGACTTTCAGAATAATGTGCATCGTCTCCCTACATGGGAGAGCTGAAAGATGCTGCAGATTCCTTGTTGCGGCCTGTCCCAGCCCTGGTCGCTATGGTTATCTGGGGAGTGAACCAGTGGATGGAAGATCTTTCTTTTTCTCTCTCCCTTCCCACACTCCCTGCTTCTTCAACTCTGACTTTTGATATGAAAATATATGCAGAAATAAAAAGTATAAATAAGTACATACATAAATGTATCTGTATATATTCCTTTATTTCTATTGAAAGAGTGGTAGGGAGAGATAGAAAATCTTCCATCTGCTGGTTCACTCCCCAGGTAGTTGCAGTGGGAAGCCAGCAATCAGGATCCTTTTCCTACCTCCTGTGTGAAGGACGGGGATTCAAATACTTGGAGCATCTTTTGGTGCTTTTCTCAGGCCATTAGCGGGGAGCTGGACCAGAAGTGGGGCAGCTGGGACAGTAGTGGTGCCTATATAAAATACCAGTGTCACAGACTCTGACTTTACCTTTTAACGCTGTGGTGCTGTCTGCTGCCCCTCCCTTCCCCCCTCACAAAACTGTGTTTCTTTCCATTTTAAGGACTGTTTAATCAAAGAACTTGACTCCATTTATGCTGAGGTTTTTTTTTTTTTTTGTTCTGTTTTTGTTGTTTGATAATGTGTAACACATCACCTGATGAGCTAGAGCAAGGGTGCCAGACTTTCTCTTAGAAAGGCACTAATTCCACTAAAGGGAACCTTGATAACCTTCTCTAACTTTATTAACCTCACAAGTCTCCACCTCCAAATACCATCAAGGTGCAAGTTGAGGGATTCAGTTTCTAAGATTTGATTTCCCAGAGACACACTCAAATCAATGCCTTCTTCTTCACCATTCGTTTCTCTCTCTCTCTCTCTCTCTCTCTCTCTCTCTCTCTCTCTCTCTCTCTCCTCCTTTCCTCCCCTGAAGTCAGGAGGTGGGTTCTATGGCACTGCAGGTTAAGGTGTCACTTGTGATGCCTGCCTCCCGTATCAGTGTGCCTGTTTCAGTCTGGGATGTTTCACTTGTGATCTACCTGCCTACTCATGTGTCCTGGGGGAAGCTGATGATGACCCAAGCACCCGAGTCTCATCAGCACACACGGAAGACCTGAGTGAAGCTCTGGGCTCCTGGCTCTAGAGTTTTTTAGCTCTGGCTGTTGGATTTTTTTGGATTGTGGGCCAGTAGATCAAAGATTTCTCTCTCTCTCCATCTCTATTTCTCTTTGTTCTGCCCCTTCCTTTACTGCCTTTCAAATGCACGAATAAATAAATGTTTAAAATGCTGTTCTGCTGAGCAAAATGGTATTTTTTTTTACTCACTCCTTTATGAATTTTTTTTTTTTCATTTGAGAGGATGTGAAAAAGAGCTAGCCACTGATATAAAAACAAGACAAAACAAAAAACTCCCCCTTCCTCAGCCCCGAGACATGAAAACATTGTGACGGCTCAGAACCTTCTTTCACAGGAAAGGGCTTTCTTTCCCACGCACACGTCAGACACAACACAACCAGCATCTTTAGCTTCCAACATTTATTTAATTATACATCAGAAGTGTTTCAGAGGATATTCTGCTTCTGAAAATCTCACTGATCAGTTGTGGTTACGTGGGAGTGGGAAGGTCAGGGATCTCTATTCTGGTTGGTACAAAGTCCTGTATAAAAAGATGCTCAATCTGGTATTCACGACTGAGGTTACACTGGTGTTCGGATGACATATATAATGGGACAGTCAGATATCACTAACTTCAAAGCAAACTGAAGAAAATGTTTTTTAAACACAAAAAAAAATATGACTCTGAATTTCTCTCATTTGCTATCCAGCAAAAACTTGCAGAAATCAAAACAGGGTAAGAAAAAAAAAAGATATTGAAAATAATTTGGTCCAAGTCAGAGATTGAAGAAAATTGGACCTGAAATTCAGAAGTCTATGCATACACAGTTCACATTTGGAGCAAGATGTGGCCTGTTGGAAACACTGACCTGGTCCTGGTCATTTCTGTGGAAATCCAGCTGTGAAAGCAAGAAGCAGAAATGAAAATGTTAAGGAGAAAAAGGCATTTTTACACCTGATCGCAATCACAAGGGAGCTAGACTTTGGACAATGGAAGACTTTGAAAAATCTGGCTACCATACAGAAAATACAAGGGTTATTTAAATAGAAAAAGCAGACAGCAGGACACCGAGCCATGCATGGTCTGTTTGTAGTAGAAAAACTTCTCCCATGTTTCTTGGCATGGGTCATACGTAACAGCACTTGTAGGACTGGTGACCGTTTCTGTGGTCATCTCTGTCTGCTGCTGACCTTACAATCACACATCAGAACTTCATATTGAGAGGATTCAGGTCATAATTTAGTGAGAGATGCTGTTTGGCTTTTGGGGTATCTGAGACCAAATAAGTAATGTAAGAATAAAATAGATTAGATGACAAATATATCATTGAGCTAACCTGCCCTACCATAAGAAAATGATGTCTTTTGAGTAGTTGTGAATAAATTTTGCCAAATTCATTTTCTGATTGATTTCCTTCCTATAGAAGGTTAATTTTATGCATCAGGTTGATTCTAGTGCTCTAGCATATTCACTCTTTGGAAAACCTCATTAACATGTTCAATAATTATGAATCATATTTGTAAATGTATGTGTGTTTCCTATACCAATATATTCATCACTGAAGCAGTTTTAAAACCATTTGCAGACATGTTTAGTTTTCTGAATTAAGTGGTTACTCTAAACTTTATTTGAAATCAGTTTTTGCATTTTATTTTTAGGGCAAAAAGCGTTTCAGACAAAAGTGATAAACTTGACAGTAAAGTTAAAAGAATTGGACCACATATAGAAATCTTCCAAGTATTCCGAGAAAGAAACAAATACATAATTAACAAGAAAATGGTGAAAATGATCACAGCCATGCAAGCTCACGTCAGGGGGTGGCTCGAACGCAGAAGATATCAAAGAATAATGACCAAGGCAAGGCATTCCTTAGATCTTATAACATGTTTAGTATTTTCTCTGTAGACTCCATTAAGTAGCATTTTAAATAGTCACCTGGTTGCTCCAGCGAAGATTGTTATTAAATAAAGTCAGCCTGTGTGCTTTGAGTGAGAAAATGCTACAAAAGCCCTATTGTGAAGAGAGTTTCTGATTTCCCCAAGTCAGAAGCTCTGAAAGAAGTCCTGGTTTATCTTCAGCTCAGTAGATCTGGGCTCACTCTCTCTTAAATGGGGATGAACTGTGTTCCACTAAACTTGTTGTCTCATTTTTGCCTACTTATTCTCTATGTGGCACAAATTTCTTCTGATTCCAACTCTCCTGGGCATAAATATTCGATTTAAAGTGTGTTACACACAAACATGCACGCACAGGTATATGCACAGAAGCATACAATGCTACCTAAGAAGCTTCAGAAAAATATTTTCTTTTCATTTTACTTGATAGAGAGCCAACATGACACACATCTCCCTACCATGGTTTACTTTCCAAATTTCTGCCACAATCTGGACTGAGCCAAGTTTCAGTAATCTGGAATTCAGCCGTGGTCTCCCATGTGATTGGCAAAGACTCAGTATTTGAGCCATTATCTGTTGCCTCTTGGGTACAGTTGGTAAGAGGCTGGAGCTGAGAACAGAGCTGGCAGTCAAAGCTGGGCACGCAGGGAAGTGATGTAGGCATTCTGAGGTCATCCTAATTGCTGGGCTGAATGCCCACAGTGATGATCTTCCAAAGAAACCAGGATGACCCGTTTTGAGTGGGCAAATGTGGAATGTGAGTGGAAATACCTTGGCAAATATTTGAAAGAATCAAAACTGTCTTGTTCTTGAGGACTAGAGTTTAGAATACCAGCCATAGAGAGAAGAATGTAACGGAAGCATACGCCTAATTTCTTGTTCTTTTGGGAGGAGTCCTACAGATTCATCTCGCAGTCTGACAACACGTTGATTCTGTTAGTGGTAATCTCTCTGCTTGTCTCTGGCTATAAGTTTATACATTAATTTGTATGCATGGTAGACATATGTGATTCTAATTAAGCTTGCAAAACTTTGACATAAACAATGCATATATACTTTTTTCCCCCAAATAATAGAGACAGACAGAGAAAAATATTTCCCATCTGCTTGTTCACTCCCCAAATGGTTGCTGCAACCAGAGTTAGTACAGGCCAATGTAAAAAACCCAGAACTCAATCTAGTTTTTCGATTTGGGTGTTGGTGTCTGAAGCACTTGGACCATTGTCACTGTCCTGCAGCGATGGACTTGGTGCATGGAGCCGATAATAACACGCATGGACTCTGACTGATGGTCAAAAGCCGAAGTTTATTAGTGGCATCAGACTTTATACACTGAGGGTCATATGGAATAACGGAGGAAGTATTGAGCCTATCAACAAAACCCATCTACACTTTTGTCTGGAATTCCTTTTGTTTTGTGTATTCCACCAAGTGTTCTCATTCACATGCCGTCCACTCAACAGTCGTCATACAATGATATCCATTTAGTTACATGAATGGTACACACTCAGTTGTTCTTATACAAATGACATCCCATAAGTTATACAAAACTTATACAAACATTTGCTTGTTCTCATACAAAGAATATCCAATCAGTTACACAAATGGTATCCAGTCAGTTGTTCTCAAACAAATATTATCCAATCAGTTGTAATCCTGTGCTTGCTGTCCTTCTAGGGTCACAATGTCCTTCTACAGACCACCTTCCATGCTTTCCCTGGATCATCAACAGGGAACCATTATCAGAAATGGGCAGCCAGGTGTCAAACTGATACTATGGTATTTTGGAATGTTGGGGTTGCAAGCAGCTACTTAAGCTACTGTACCAAAATACTGGCCTTAACAAATCATTTACTTAACTCTCCAATAATTCTGTGTTGCACCTAGCATATTTATTTTATATATGGAGATATTGGAGGTTAGAGAAATTAAGTCATTTACCCAAAATCAAGCAGTTTTATGTGACACAGCTAGAATGCAAACTTACGTTTTCCAATGCTTATTGCACCTATCTGAGCATGCACGTGCCTTATATTCTGATAAATTCCAATTTGTCTTTCAAGATTTTCCTAATGTATTATAACGATCACATCTGTGATTTTTCAATTATGATCTTATCTATTTTTTTACAAAAATTCATATCACAACATACTGTCTTATATGATTGAAATTATTAGTATTCAAATTATACGCACTTGTTATATGTCATTTTTTCTTATCTTACTGTTTGTATATATTCTATTTTCTACTTTGACTAAGTAGATTGTAAACTGTTTGAGGACATTAATAAGTCATGTTTGCTACCAATTGCAGTGTTTCCAAGTACTTAAAACAGTACTGAACTCATGGTAGGCATTCATGAAATACCTACTGAATAGATGAATTAAATAAAAAAATGTAATTGTAGGTATTTATCCTGATACTTTAAGTATTCTTAAAGTTATACTTTTAATAAATGATGAATTATCCAACTGTGAAATGTTGTGCTATCAGAGAGAACAGTTGACATTATGGAAGAAAACTGAATTTCTGTATAGAAATGGAATTTGAGATGAAAAGAATGGAAAGCACTTTTAGAGATTCAGAGAATGACTTTTTCTTGGTTATAAAATATGTTTTCTATCATTGGCATTTTTATTCCATCATTGCTGTGACGTTGTGTGTGGTGGCTAGTGTTTCTGTTATTAGGGTTGTAATTGTTTTTGCTTACTGTCAAATTTCTAGAGGGACAAGCTTATAATGTAGTAAATAGTGGTTTTAGAGGGAATTCTTGATAGACGGTTTGCTCTAGCAACTATGTAGCTAACATTGGGTAATTGGTAGAAGGGTGGAAATCCTTCTACTGGGAGGCTCCCTTAGTAATCCTGCTTGGTTCTTGCTGTGGACGGTGCCTTCTGCCATGTCACTGACTCGTATGAGATGCTCTTAGTTTGGCTGTTTTTGGAAATAATGAAGCTGCATTGAATTGTCTTTGCTGTCACATATTACGAGACCACAGAGATTGCTGTGTTTAATTATTAGAATTATTCCTACCATTCAAAAAAAATCTTTTACCTTTAGAAAGAAATTATCGTTGAATAATGTTTGTTGAACAAAAATAATTTGGGTCAGTATTGAAAAATCTGAGTTTTAAAGTTATCAGGATAGTATCTTTGATATTTTGGAGTTCATGTAAACCTTTAAAAATTTACTAATGAATTTCCTTCAATGTTTGCTAGGAAACAACCTGAAGCCTGTTCATGGTCCCTGTGACACAGTTCTGTATATAAATGTGTTCACTTCTGTACACACACTCGTGTTTTCCGTGTATTCAACATGGTGTTCTTTAACCTGTCAGTGGTTATTCTATCCTTGGTCCAGTTTCCATCTTGCTGTGTGACCTCAGAGCACACAGATTAGTTAGAAATGCAGGGCGCTAACCTACATGTTAGCTGCTTTTGCTACACAGAGCAAGGTTGCTTGACTCAAAGGGTTGTGGTTAGATAGTGTTTGTCAACTAGTATCAGACCTGGGGAGTGAAAAGCCAGTTATATTTTGTCAAGTAGACTGGGAGGCTTGGTGGCAGGGATAGCTGGCCTCAGAATATTTATGGGTGGAGGGAATAGTTAGGAGAACATGGCAGCAGATGAAGCTGATGGTAGTTATCAAATGGAGAATGTTCTTCAAAAACATGCCAGGGAGTTTCTACTTCACTCTTCATTGATGGGACTGGGTGACTTTGCATCAGTGTCATGTATGTATGCGTAAATTAGAAGAGTTATTTATCAATTGTGAATTGGGGGCAAGGCGGACAAAATGGAGAGAGAACAACTGCCATGCTTACCCGATAACTGAGTGCATTTTGCTTGATAACTTAGGGTGAGGACGGAGGAAATGCAAACAAGCCAAACGTGGGCTTTGATCAAATTCAGAGACACAGAGGAGGGAGAAGTCAGGAATGATTCTCTTGTTTTTATCCTGAACAACCTGAATTGATTCAACAATACAGACTTTAGGGACTTCCACTGAGAGTGGGAAAGAAAGGAAAGGAGATTGATTCCCGTTTCCAACACTCTGTGCTTTGAGCGCATGGGAGAAAACTGTAGGATATCTTGGAGATAGTTCAGTGAATGGATCCCAGAGTCAGAAGGGAGATGGCGCTGTAGAGAAATATTTTGGATTTATCAGTGATTCTTTAATTTTTTTTTTCGCTTTCAATCACCTGAGGAAGAACATAAAATCTTTCCTTCCATACCATTTCCCAGTTTGGCAAGGTTTCTCATGCTGTTTTTCAGACAGCTCTCCTCCAAGGTGTAAGCCTAGCAACTTGACCCCATCCAGGTCTCTGCACATTGCTGCATGGTCATTATACTACATTATAGAATGTAACTCTCACTCTGGTCTTTCCTTATTACATTAAAAACATTGTATTGCTCTGCATGTCACCGAGAACATATGTTTCTATTGGCACATGGTTCCTTCACTAGGAATTAACCCCTTAAGAGCAGGAATTTTATATTTTCTGTCCGTCAATCTGCAAGATCCCAAACATTGTTATCACATAATAAAACTCTAACAAATGTGTTTGAATGAATTGTTTTCGATATGGTGGAAGGTACATACTAGCATATTAAGGCCAGGAGATGTGAAGTTTAAGAACTGTTTTCTCAATATTGTGATGCAGCCCCCTGACTAGAAATGACTTGCTTGTGTCTGATCCCTACCCGTAATATGACAGCTATTACTAGTACCACTGATGGACACAATGTATGTATACAGACCCACACTATTTAAAGTTAAGCAGAAGATGAACATGACACAAACTCTGAAGTGATGCCAGAGAGACAAGGAAAGTAGAATGTGTAAGCTCCTGGATACTCAAAGGCAGTGCACGCAGGAGAGCGACATCAGTAGTTTCCATTGCCATTAGGAATGAAGGTGCAGGCAGGTTTTGGCTTTAGGAATACTAAATTCATGAAGTCAACATTTAAAGTCGTTAAGTTTAAACATACACTTGAAGATTGAAATATTTCAATATAATTAAACATTCACTAGAAAAAGCCAATGAGAGAGAAATATTGATACTACAAGAAAAAAATGGAGATAATTTCTACTCTGATGTTTTAAATAATATTGGAGGATGTGTGCTTATAAGATACTTCATAAAGTGATACTCAGGCAAGAGGAGACACGTTTCACTGTCACGTGAATTGCTGTGCTCATCTAAGTATTTCATTTTGGTGTTTGGAAGTAGCTGTTTGAATAAGCCAGTAATTGCCCAATCCCATTCCCACCAAAGATAAATAAGGGCTTGCTGAGAAAGAGCAGTTTGATGGTAAGTTTGAATATTTGAAGAGACTGAGCAAATATAAAATATCAGAAAGGAAAGATGCCGAGCAAAGTGCGCATGCATTTCTAGACTACTTCCAGAACCCAGATGAGGCTGCTGCTGCTGCTGCTGTCCTTCTAGGTGGCATAATATAACAAGAGGTCAGGAAAAGAGAGATCGATGAGTAACTTAGCTCAAGTTAGATGTTTGAAAGTCGAATTTATCTGGCTTCAGCACAGTGTAAAACAATAGGTCATGTTGATAGCAGCCAAGTTGAACCATTCCAAAATTCTGGAGTCTTTTCTCTGGATAGATTGATCCTTTCTTCTTTCTTTCTTCCTTCGTTCCTTCTTTCCTTCCTTTCTTCTCTCCTTCTTTCCTTCTTTCCTTCTCTCCCTACCTCTTCCTTTCTGTCTCTCTCTCTCTCTCTCTCTTTCTCTTTCTCTTTCTCTTTCCCTCTATCCCTTCCTCCCTTCCTTCCTTTTGGAAAGATTTATATCAAGTTTATTTGAAAGGCAGATTTACAGACACACAAAAGCAGGAAGATCTTCTCTCCATTGCTTCACTCTCAAAATGGTCCCAATGATCAGAGCTGAGTGGATCCAAAGCAAGATGTCAGCAGCATCTTCCAGTCCCTTCCACGAGGGTATAACATCCAAGGCTTTGAGATATTTGCCACTGCTTTCCCAGGCCATAGGCAGGAACCTGGATCAGAAATGGAGCAGCTAGGACACAAACCAGTGCCCATATGGGATGCCAGCACTTGCATGGGATTGATTAGCTAATTTAGCCATCATGCCAGCCTTGTCACTTTGCCTTTCTTACAAATAAAACATTTTGGCAGATGACCCTGCCAAAAATAAACAAAATGACAGTTGGAAAGTGTATTCTGGTAAAATTTGTTAAATGACAGTGTGTGATGGGTTTCATTTATTTCATATTAAATTAAGAAGAATTAGAAAATTATGATCAGTAATTCATAGAATCTTTATAATTCAGTGTTTTGTTATAAATATTAATATACGTTCTAATAAATGCATGGTACCCATTCTGTTGTTTTCTGATGGAATATCCAAGCACCGAGCTCCAAGGATGGACTTCTGTGCTCATCTCTGGATACACTGAAATCACCTGTGGCTTTTGATTGTAACTCAAAGAAGCCAGTTGTCAGATTTGAGCAGGAAAGTACTCAGAGTGTTGGGTTGAGGTCTGAATAATAATACTAACATATATGAAGGGATGAGGAAGTCTGGATGTTAATCTTGACTCCTGGATGTGCTTGCCTCTGTGAATTCTGCCCTTGTGAAATGGATTTTGTTGTCATAGTTACTCTAGAATAAAAATACTTTTCCTACTTAATTTGGAAAGAATTGTTAGCTTTATTCAGTGATGCAGAGAGTAGATGGACTTCTACATCTGCAGCCTCATCTACAGGAAAGTGTATCATGAACGTCAGACTTCTGGTTCAGGTTGTGGGAGGTGGTTTTGCCTCCTATTGTTTCTCTAGTATTGAGCAATGCTGCTAAAGTGTAACCAGCTATTCTTTTGTAAAAGGAAAAGAGTCTGCTGAACAAAAGACAGGCTGAAATTACACACAGGAAAAGATTATTAAATGGTGAAAGATAGTAAGCCAATTTTTTAGAATTTGTCACCATAGTAAAGGAGGATTAACGGGAGGTAGGTGAAATATTTGCATATTCTTCCATTTGGGCAAATAAATATGTCATTAATATTTATAAGATAAAAATACACATCTAGGGCCTGGCGTGGTGGCCTACAAGCTAAAGTTCTCACTTTGAATGTGCAGGGATCCCATATGAGCACTGGTTCTAATCCCTTAGACCCACTTCCCATCCATCTCCCTGTTTGTGGCCTCGAAAGCAGTCGAGGACGGCCCAGAGGCTTGGAACACTGCACCTATGTGGGAGACCCAGAACAAGTTCCTGGCTCCTGGTCTCAGATGGGCGCAGCACCGGCTGTTGCAGCTAATTGGGGATTAAAACAACAGACGGAAGATCTTCCTCTCTGTCTCTTCTCCTCTCTATATATCTGACTTTGCAATAAAAATAAATATTTAAAAATACACATTTAAGTGTACTATTTAAAATTTTGTGGAAAAACCACAAAATGAAGCAAAAATGAAGAATAAAATGATAATATATCTTTACGTGTTACACAGAAAAAAGAAATAATCATGACAGGTACAAGAACTATCATAAATTTATTAAATATGCTCAGAAAAAATAAAGAACACAGAATGGATTAAAAATTAAATTCATTTAAGATGAGCATAGGATGTAATTAATAATGTGTTTTCTGGAGATTGTCTTTTGGCTTCATAACCGAGTGTACAACTTATTAACTGTGGAGTCTTGGGAAAGTTCTCTGTAGATTTTCTGTTTCAATTTTTCTTTCATTGATAAAATCGCTTTCAGAGTACACCAAAAGATAGCTGCTTCAAAGAGAAATCATAAACTAAAATGCGTGTCTCAAAAAAATAAACGAAAATAAGTTGTTTTTAATTTGGTGAGTCAAGAAAAAGGAAAATTAATCTAAAGTTAACCTGGAAAAGAAAAATGAATTAGTAAAGATAGTGAAAGTAACATGTCAGAATATATGTAAAAATATTGAATCAATGAATAAGTGAAATTGTAGAAGATACAGGTGAACTAATACAGCAAAAAGGGGTTAGTTTCTTTTATATCTAAAGAGTTCTTACAAGTTAGCAAGAAAACCTAAAAAAAAATGGCATGATGAAAAACGGGTAAAGGACAAGAATATACAATCTTCAAAGGAAAGAAAAAACAAAAATTTGACCCAAACTGATCTGCTTATGTGTCATCCATTACAGAATTATGTCTTACTATGGCCTTGAATTGTTTTCTGCATGACTTAGCTATATAATATAGAAATCTGGACTTCAAGCTAGGAAGACTTTATGCTAGTTACCATCATCATAAAACGGTTATTATGTAGGAAATATGAATAGCTGATGATCTTACAATGAATAATGAAGCTCTCTGAACTTCAGGGAGATCATGTAACTGGACAAAGTGGATGTTTAGCCAATAGAGAAAATTAGCATTAATCAATTACAGCCATGGTCCAAGAAATTGGGTGAAACAGATGGAAGAGACAAAGTCAAATTAGACATAAATGTAAGAGGCCTTACTGTCCGTGTTGTCATTTGTCAGGCTTTGTATCATGGAACAAACCTGAGAGCAGTTATCAACATGTATCGTGCAACGATCCACCGTATTAGATATCGACTTGGTCTTTGGAGGACGCGGCAGATTATAAACTTGATAGAGCTAGAGGAATGGATGGATAGGAAAAAATGTAAGTGATGCAGCTGTCTGTGGCTTGGCTTTAGGTTTGGAATGAATTTAACCATTGGATGTCTATAGATGATGATGACAAAAAGCAAAGGTAGACCGTGTTTTATATTGCTAAAAATCATTTGTGCTTTAATGTGGTATGCTATGTATTTTATTTACATCATCGAGAGCATTTGCTTAAAAGCAACAGAACACTCATTCTAGCTAACCAAGCAAGCAACTCAAATTTAAAGGGAGACGTATAGCTAGCTGGATAAGTCGCTTTTCGACAGACTATGAAGAGCTGCTCCTGACAACAGATAGGTGGGAAATAAGGACAGTGTTTCTTAGCCAAAGGGGGGTATATAAGTTCCAAAAGGTAAGGCCTTTTGTTCTCATGCTTTAAGTTCACACTCCAGAGGGGGAACAGCTGGTTGTTTCAGCCTGAGTATCTGTGTAATACTCTTATTTTAACTATTTTTAAAAATTATTTTCCACGATACCGTTTCCCTTCCACTTTCCCTTCCTCGTTCCCCGTTCTCTCCCCTGCCACACAGACTATTTTCCCACATATTAGGAAACTTACTTGAGAGTCACGTGGTGGGATTCTATTGGAGGAGGAAGAGTTCCTCAAGTGGAAATTAAATATTGATGCCAGATGGACACGGAGCGGACCAAGCAACCACGTGGCTTCTGTGTTAGTGTTAGGGTTCTGTCCTTGAATAAATTCGTAAGTTTCAGAGATTCTGACTTCTGATTAGTGAATTCAATATTGTTTAGGATCAGATTATATTTGAGTTAATTTATTGACAAAAAAATTTAAACTGCAAGGAAATATATTGAATTGATATGATCATCTTACTGATTTTAGGTTAGAAGTACACAGTTTGTGAAGTTTTAGGTAGTTATAAAATGTTTATGTGAAACTTAAAAAGTTTCATGAAAGCAGAGACTGTGCTCAGCAATGAACATAGTACATTTGATAAATATTTTGATTATCAGGAGGGCTTAGAAATGTTTCTTTAAAAGATGGTTTTCAGTAACTTTATTAAAACATCTATATGTCACAGTTATTATTAGAAGATATTGGCAAATAACTGCAACGCGTTGAGTTAGCGTGGTCCCTCTGCTCTGGGTAAAAGTTGAGGGAGGAATGAGTCAAAAAGGGAGACAAGATAGGGGAAAACACAGATTGATTCTGCATGTGTCAGGGGGCCAAGCTAGACAAGCTCACCTTGTCTAGCAGCTTGATTCAGCTTGATTCTCAGAGGAAAAAATCGAAAGAGAGCAAAGTGTCAGACGGATGGAGAGACAGGAGGAAGAAAAGAGAAAGAGCGAATTAGAGAGAGCTGCAGAGTGAAGCCTTTCCCTGCCCTCCCTCCAAGCTCCTGACTTCTCCCACGTGGAAGCTGCTGGGACACATTTATTAATACAGAGGACCTTAAGAGAGTTCAAGAGAGTCCAATTAAGAGACTTCATACCCATATGCAGATTTTTTAAAAAAGATTTATTTATTTTTATAGGAAAGGCAAATGTACAGAGAGGAGGAGAGACAGAGAGGAAGATCTTCCGTCCGATGATTCACTCCCCAGGTGGCTGCCACGACCGGTGCTGCACTGACCTGAAGCCAGCAGCCAGGAGCCTCTTCCGGGTCTCCCACGCAGGTGCAGGGTCCAAAGGCTTTGGGCTGTCCTCCACTGCTTTCGAGGCCACAAGCAGGGAGCTGGATGGGAAGAGGAGCTGCCAGGGTTAGAACTGGCGACCATATGGGATCCTGGCATGTTCAAAGCGAGGACCTTAACCATTATGCTGTCGCACGGGCCCCCTATATGCAGATTTTAAGACTTGTGCTTATAGCTCTTTAGGCACTAGAATAAAATTTAATAAGGTCTTTAATAAAAATAAATGATAAGTCATTAAAATACAACATATGAAACAAAATGAAAAACAACAAAAGAGTGTTAATGTTTTGTTCATGAACAGTGGCTTTACATTCCATTCTCTAATATGAAAGTGCAGATTTTATATTTATCAAGATGTGCACTAGAATCATACAGTTAAAACCCTGAGCATCTTTTCCACTACAATTTTTAAATTAATGATTTTCAAATTGCATGACTTTTAAACTATGCTCTCATTATTTTAATCCATCTTGTCTTCACTCGTAAAATGCTGTCATGAATTCAGTTTTAACACTTTTAACCTTTTAAATTTAAATTTAACTTTCTTTCCATGATTTCTCCTTCTTATTTTATAAATTCAGATATTAGACTATTTAACCATCTAAAAATAAGCTCTTAGTCTTGATTTTAAAAAAGAAAAGCAAGCCAACAGTCTCCCATGGTTTGTTTTCGAGCCATACCCTCTGGTGGTGTTTAGCTGGGAAGAAACTTGAGTAGAAGTTTTGTGACCAGCAGGGTAGGAGTCAGGAGGGCCTAGCGTGGCAGAGTGGTACAGGCGGAGCGAACAGTATTCGCAAACTTTCATGGAGTTGGAAGAAGCCATGAGAAGGATTGTTACTGTCATGAACATTGTACGTGAGAGCAGAGCCGAGTGAGGGGAGAGCACACGTTGTATGGGTTGCCTCTCACCCTGTGAGGGGCTGAAGGCAGTGGAGGATTATGAATGGAAGACAATGTTACGGGCCCGGTGTGTTAATCTAGTGGCTTAAGTCCTTGCTTTGAACACACCGGAAATCCCGTATGTGTGCCAGTTCTAATCCTGGTGGCTCTGCTTCGCATCTAGGTCCCTGCTTGTGGCCTGGGAAAGCAGTCGAGGACAGCCCGACGCTTTGGGACCCTGTACTCACATGGGAGACCCAGAAAAGGCTTCTGGCTCTTGGGTTTGAATTGGCTCAGCAAAAACCGTTGAAGCCACTTGGGGAGTGAATCATCAGACAGATCTTCCTCTCTGTCTCTCCTATTCTCTGCGTATCTGACTGTCCACTAAAAATAAATCTTAAAAAAAAAAGACAATGTTACAGCATAGGTGACCACATCACCACTGACATACAGCGAGGATAAAACAAAAGAGTCCAATTAGGACAGTTGGTACTCTGTCCAACGTAAGATTTAAACAGAATAAAATTAGCCAAATGAGTAACTTAAAGAAGTACAAGCCATGTATCAGTTTACATTATAGGTTAAGATAATTGTAGAATTCATAGAGTTTGCAAATTCTTATTTGTCTTCATGTTCCAGATGTTATTGGAAAAATTAAAGGAAAACAAAGGAAGTAAGAAAGGAGGCGAGAGAGAGGGAGAATTGTATCCATGAACACCTGAGACTATCCTCTTTATATTAATAATTTTAGAAACAAAAATTCTCAATCCTTTCCATGTGCTATTGGTGATACTTGGCAGATGTCTATGTATTTTTTAAAGCATATTTCAATTATCAGCATAATTCATTAGTATTTATAGTGTTAAGTTTTATATGAACTGTAATGATTTAAACCTAGATTGTTGATTATGCTAGTATATTGCCAAAGATTTCCTTGGTAGGGCATGGTATGTGTGTTAATGACACTGATATCTATCAATATTGACATAATGCCTCAATGTTAATATATGCATCAGGATGCTCTAACCTTGCATGATAGAAGGAAAATTCAATCAAGGTATGTACAGCTGATTCTTGAATTACTAGCGTGCATAGAGACACCAACCCAGGTACCCCCTAAAACTCTTTGTATAACTTCTGAGGCCACAAAGCTTACATAATTACCCATAGCCTATGTGTGCCAAAAGTGCTACAGATGACTTAGTAGTCTATAAATAAGTATCTTATGTTTTACTTATTATATAAAGAGAAACACATGAAAACCAAGAAGTAACTTTTCCTGGGGATCCCAATTTACTGTAGGGATGAAGTGCTCACGCAGAAATGAGAATCCTCCTATGTGGTATTTTTAAGTGGATACCTTGAGCTCTCAGCCATAGGAATAGGAGGTGACTAAAAAGTTATTATGGTACTACAATTTCTCATTTCGCACTGATCTCTGTTTTATTTTTCCTTCAATTGTAAATGGTGCCATGCATGGATTGTAAGCATTTTTGTTGCTAGTATCAATAAACTTAAGCATTTTCTATATTTGCATATTTTATGGTATGAAATACTAAACCAGAATACTATCTGTGTATGTTTTGCATATTTCTATATATTCTTAATTTTATTTATTTGCTTATTTTTATTCTTAATTTTAAATGTTTCTAGGCTATGATGTTCATCTGGAAGTGTTTTTCAAATTATTGAGAACCTCTCCAAAATAAAAACCATTCACAAGTAGACCCATGCAGTTCAAACTCACATTGTTCAAAGGTAGCTGCATACATTTTTATGGAGCACATTTTTTACTTAACATAAATATTAAAAAGTGACATTCTTTGTGTCTCAGTGTGAGCTTCTCCAGAATCAGAACCTAACACAAGGAGTTTAACTGCAACTAAGGTATTTTCAAATTGATCCCAGGAAGTAATGCTGGTGGAAAGAAGTGTGAGACAAGGAAGGGATGGAAGTGAAAAAAGGAGTGTGCTATCAGGCAGGTTATGACATGGACAACTGGAACTTGAGAGAACTCAAGCTAACAGAATAGCCAACCAGGTCTCTCCGTTCAGTGATGCAAGGTCACTCCAGTGTAAGTCCTTACACCCTGGACTTCTGAGTGGCTGTGCACGTGGGCAGAGTGAAGTTATGTAGCGGAAGGCGCTTTTAGGTAGTTGAATCCAGATCCTGGCAATGCAAAATGACACCAGCATGCACAAAAACTGAAGGGGCAAGTAGATGTGTATGAGCCAAAAGCAACTGCTCTGGTTAGCTTATTGAAATAGAAGACTCATAGATATACTAAATACATGCTAGATATTTATTTTGTTGCTGCGTTCCAGGATCTGGAGTAGCCACTCATAATTGAGTTATCACCAATTATTTCTTGAATTTATTGATTCCTCATTACCATCTTCTTCAAATCAGTGAATGAATAATTAGAAAATTGAGATCTATTTTGTTGAGTTGCCAGGATGATGCAACTTCTGTTTGAAACCGTTTATTGGGACCTAAGGTAATCCCTGTTATCCTCTAAGTACTGACCAACTAGTAGCCTTATGGAATCACTGATCCAACATACTTTAGAATGAGACTGAAATATTACCCTTGAGGGAGAAAAAAAAAAGAACCAACATGTTTATGAAGAATTAGACTTAGTAAAACATGCTTTGATTCTTTTGGCCATTCTTCAACAGCTGATGTCAAGTATGGGTGAGAGGTGGCTCCCAGTAAGTAGTTCTCTGTGGTAGTCTTGAGTCAGGAGTAACAAAGTACCATTAACTATCAAGTAGGAATATATGAAACCACTGATTAAAAAATAGACATTGCTCTGAGTTAGGTACCAAATGGAAAAATAGAACAAAATGAAATCACCAACTCAACTACTGAGTATTTGAATAGAAGGTGCAACTAAATGAGCAAAAATTAGAGTAACCAATGAAAAAATAAATTGTGACGAAAGACTGCAGTTGTCAGGTCACCATAAATCTATGTCTTTGATATGCATAAGCATGGACAATTGTCGTGAAACCAAAACAGAGGATCTCAGTGTTGTGTTAAGGGCATGGAGTTCCAGTTTACTGCTTTGGAACAGGGTGTGTGGGTGTCCATGTGTTGTGTAGGAAAGCACTTCTTTCTTTTACCTTCAGGTTGGCATGGTGCTCAGGGAGCACATAGCCTCAAAGAAGCACATTGGTAGGAATAATAAACTGGAGTTAAAGAAACCTCAAATTCACATGGAAATTTCAGGAGAATTATACTTGATATAGTAGAAAGACAATGTTTTCTTTTACCTTTTTTTAAATTTCTAGACTATGAAATAATGTTTGCCAAGAGAGAAGATTGGCAAGGGTTAGACAGAAATGAACTCCTGAAGTACTTCAATGACTGCGGCCATTTCCCGACCCAGGCTCAGATTGACGATGTGTGGGACTTGGTCCACAGAAGTGAGTAGTCCCTCCCCTTTCTCCTGCTTTCCCTCCATTTCCCTTACACTTCTTTCTCTCCTCCTCCTCTTCCCTGTGTTTGAGCTTCTATCCTCAAATTTCTTTGTATCTGATTTTAATATTTATCAAGGAGAAGATTTTAATGGTGAGTAATAAGAAGTTAATGTACACACCTGGGCCATTTTTTCTCTTAAGGAAAACGATGTCTTCAAATAAATTTCTACTAAAGTTGATTTTGAAGTTCCTTATGATAAGAATAAGTCAATTTACTTACAAAAAAGAGATTAATACAATAAAGTTTTGGTATAGCTGAGTGTATTTTTAAACCATGAAAGTTTAAATATGCTAAAGAGCTGAAATTTGGATGGAATGGATGCTGAAGAACATATATTAAAATGTATAAGCACTGAAATCTATTTTAAGGCAAGCCAGTTTAATATGTAAAAGGTGATTTCTTTCTAAACAATGAATAAAGAGTTGGTAATATGTGAGAATATTTACGTATAGATGGACAACATTTTTCTCTTCTCTAAAGACTCATGAAAGAATGGAAATTGTTACTATGGGACTGTCAATGAATTTTCCTTCATTTCTTAAGTTATCTCTCCATTTTTTTTTAACATTTAAGTTTATAGCCACCGAATCAATAATGTTTATGCTGAAGCTGTGCACTGAGATGGTTATATAACATATATAAATATAATTTTAGAGTCCATGGAAATGGCTTTGGAAGTTGATTATGAGTTAAGAAATTTTGAAAGCCACCTATGCTCAAGCCTTGTGTGATTGTTACTATGCCGAAATGAATCAACGTATCCCCCCTGTATATAGGTAGCTCTTTGCATGCCTGCATGAGTGCTTGCACAAGAATAGACAAAATGGGATTATTACCTCCAGCCACCATGCTGCACATGGGACCTGGAAGTTACTCATCTAGTCTGTCCGTGTGCCCTGGCTGATGTATCCCATTTCACCCAGCACTCTCCCCTGGAAGCCATTCTTGTACTCTGAATTTCTGAGTTCCATTTCTCATGTGCTGCATAAGAGATCATACAATGCTTGTTGTCTTGTTGTTCTGACTGCGGCTTATTTCACTTAGCATAAAATCCTCTAGATTCATCTATGTTTTCACCGATGGGAGGATTTTTTTTTTGTTTTCTTTCTTCTTCTTTTTTCTTTCTTTTTTTTTTTTTTAGGTTGAATAGTATTTCCTTGTACATAAACACAGCATTTCTTTATCTGTTCCTTTGCTGATAGACACTGATGTTGGTTTTTGTGAAAAGCTTGCAGTAAATGTTGAGGGCAAGCTGGGATCTCTTTGAAATGCTGATTCATTTATTCATTCTTTTAATAGATACACAGGAGTGTTAATTATGATAGTTCTGCTAATTTATGAAAAAAAATATATATGGTATTTATTTGAGAGACAGAGATTACCTACTGACTGCTTCTGTTTTCTCCAGCCTGGGGCTTAGACCCTCCAAGGCAGGATCCTGCTTGTCAATGCAGGGTCCGCCTGTGAGAGGCGGCAACACTGTTGTATGAGCTATCCCTGCTGCTTAAGGCTCCACCTGAGTGGGAAGCAGGAGCAGGAAGCCAGAGTTATCAAACCCTGGCACTCCAGTGTGGGCTGTAGGAATCTTAAGCAGAGGTTTAACTACTGAACTCAACCTCTGCCTCTGATTTTAGCTTTACGAGAACTCCCGTACTTTGTTCTGTCATGGCTGCACCAATTGATATGGGTATACTACATTTTGATTTTGTTGCTGACTTTTGAAGCCATATTCAAAAGATCATTGCTGAGACAACATAAAGTAGATTTACATTTAACTTGTGCATTTAAGTGTTTATTTGAAGTTAACTTTTGCAAAATATAAAGTGAAATCCCAAGTTCATTCTTCTGTATGTAGGTGGATAGCTTTCCCAACATTGAAGAGACTGTATTTTCTGCATTGCGTATTCTTGTCATCTTCATCACATTTTAAGATTATTTTGTTCCATTTATCTATTTCTCATCCATGGCTGTAACTAGACTGCTCTGTATATTGGGGCTTTGTAGTATTTGATTATAGGCAGTTCAGGTTTTCCAGCTGTTCTGCTTAAGGATGATTTGTCTAGTAAGGACTTTTGTGATTCCATATAAATTTTAGGTTTGGTTTTATTAAATTCCTTTGGAACTTTGATAGGCACTACATTAATTCTGTAAGTGACTTTGCATAGTATTTACACTTTAGCAATATTAATTCTGATAAATCATTAAGACTCATATGTCTTTCCATTCTTTTATCAATGTCTTCCAGTTTCAAATGTTGAGCTGTTGCATCTTGTCAATTAATTTTATTCATAATTATTTTATTTTTGTAAAATCTTTGTAAATCGCTTTCTTAATTTCTTTTAATTAATGTGTTGATGTGTAGAAAAACACAAATGATTGCTGTATGAGTTTAGAGGTATTTCCTAGTCTAACCAAGAAGAACAGATAATAGATTTTTATTATATAGGAAGCATATACACTATTAGAAATGTGTGAGTAAATTCAAACCATTATTAGAAAGAATTTACCTTTTTTTTTTTTAGTCTTTATGCTTTATTTCCTACTGACATATCCGTAGAATCCGGAGCAGTTTTATGGACTTTGGTAAATGTTTATACATGTAGAAACACACAATTCACTTTGCATTTCAGTAACCATCAGACGTTTCACTGACTTTTTATAATGCCCCCAATATTGCCATCTTCTTCTTTTTTTAAGATTTATTTATTTTTATTGGAAAGTCAGATTTACAAAGAGAAGGAGAGACAGAAAGAAACATTTTCCATTTACTAGTGCTCTCCCCAAGGGGCCACAATGGCCAGAGCTAAGCTGGTCTGAAGCCAGGAGCCAGGAACTTCTTCCAGCTCTCCCATGTGGGTGCAGGGTCCAAGTCTTTGATTCATCCTCTACTGCTTTCCCAGGCCACAAACAAGGCGCTGGATGGGAAGTGGAGCTGCCGGGATGTAAGCCAGTGTGCGTATGGGATCCTGGCATGTGCAAGGAGAGGATTTTAACCATTTCACTGGGCCCAATCTTTTCTGATAGAAAATTGAAAAATAAAGTTTCCAAAAGATAGCAATTGTTAGCATCTGATATCTGTTTCCTAGTTTTTTAATTGCATAGAATATTATTTTTATTAAAATTATTTTTATATTTGAGTGCTTTTTGTTTATCAATATTCATGCATTTTAAGCCTCAAATATGTTTTGCAGCATTAGTTTTTGACTTAGTAGTAATGCCCTGTGGATGCTTTAAATGTATTTATTATTTTATACTTATTTCTATTTTTATTTATAAGGAATAAAAAAGTTTTAATATTTAAATGCCACAGGATATAATGAAACAAATATTTCAGAAACTTCTAGAATAGCATTAGTAATTTAAAATGTTTTTACATGTTCAAGTTAACAGCTCATAAGGATGTGACTGGTTGTTTTGGAGTGTATCATAATAGTTTTATGCTTAGAACATAGCACTGGGATTAGATTGAGCAGAATTGAAGGCTCTGCTTCTTACTGAGTTCTGTCTTATTTTCACCAGCCATGAATGAAGATAGCATCATTGTGAGACCTTTGTGAGACTGATGTGGAATCAGCCATGTAAAATGCGAGGCCCACTATAAATATTCAACCAATATTTATCTTTATTATTCATACATAATTCTTACACATTTTACCTGGAAAATCTTTAAATATTGAGCCTAATAATGTAATGATTCATTTTATAGTGATTTTTGTAATAAATGTCATCCATTAGCTTGTACAGATAGCGTCTATTATGTGCTGGTGGGAAAGATATGGTCTTTTTGCAGAAGAGAGAACAGAGGCTTGGAAAGAGGGTTGTCTAATCTTGTTGATGAAGCTGGGACTTTCACCCTGGATGATGCGAGCAAAGTTATTGCCCTTCATGTTATTATCTGGAGACATTCTAAAAATCAGTGTTATTAAAATTTAATTACGTAAATAAAGTTAGGTTGACAGTAAGAACTGCTTATCATTCAAGAAGCAGCTTATAGCCATGAAATATTATAGGATTTTAAATACATGTTTATATCTTTCAAAATTATATTTAGAACTAGAATTTTCAAAAGAAAATTCAGTCTAAAGAAATACTGATTTCATTATAGAGCATATGATTGATAAACTTAGTAGAAATAACCACTGGAACATGGCTGTAACTGTATGTCTAATGCAACTGGTCCATTCTACTAAGAAATTATTTTTAGTACACAGATAACTTTCACCTAAAATGGGAGATTCTAAAATCATGTACAGAAAATAGAAAATTCATGGGAAAAGGATCAAATTAATGAGTTTCTGTCTGATGCTAGAATATAATTCCATTTTTAAGAGAACCCGACTTTATGCATTTTAGGTTGTCAGCAATCTTCATTCACACTGGCCTCTTTGGTTGTGGATGGCTCCAGCTGTGTAACCAATGCGTCTACGTCCAGTAGAATACCTCACCTAGTGCATGGGGAGATAATCCAACTGATCAACTTCAGTGCGTGACATCAAGTAGATCAAATTCTTAAAACTGAGTGTGTTCAGATATTTGTATCTTCCCTTTTTCCCCCACTCTTTCTTCTTGTCACTATGGTAACAAAAAAAAAAATTGTGACTGAGGACATAATTTCGTCTGAAAATCTTCCTCTGTGAGAATGAAGCAACATTGGTTTAGATGTGTTAGCTGATCTTAAAAGCTACAGAATATGCAAACTTGGAAACCTGAACTTGATATTCGTTTAAATTCCACTGGTTGAAACTAATAGCAAGCAAATTGTAAATCAGAATGTGACGAAAACGAAACATTTGTGATTCTAAGTTGTCTGAGTCCATCTTAACAGAATATGAGGCTTTGTCCGCATATTGGTAGAACTTAACAACTTGTTCAGTTCAACTCAGCAGTGAATGTAAGCCCATTTTCAGTGTGGGAGTACAAGTAAAAATCTTAGAAAATGTGGAAG